TGGACTGGGCACACAATAGTAGGCAGCTGTACAAGAAGGCCCAGAGTAGACTGTACTTCCTGCGGAGGCTCAGGTCTTTCAACATCTGGAGGAAGCTCCTGAAAATGTTTTACCAGTCTGTAGTTGCCAGTGTTATTTTGTACGCTGTGGTGTGCTGGGGGAGCAGCACATCAAAGGACTTACACAGATTAGAGAAGCTGATCAGAAGCTCTGTGGTGGGCATCAAACTAGGCCCTCTGGTGACAGTGGCAGAAAAGAGAACACTTCTCTTGGATACATTGGTAGAAGAATGTTAGAGATGGAGCTACCAGCTAGGAGAAAGAGAGGAAGGCCAAAGAGGATATACTGTATATGGATACAGTGAGGGAGGACATGCAAATAGTTGGAGTCAGAGTAGAAGATACAGAGAACAGGGAGCGATGGAAATCAATGATTTGCTGTGGCAACCCCTGAAAAAGGGACAAAGCCGAAAGAAAAAGAAGAAAAGAAAAGGAGTCCACCGGGCAATAAAACTGTTTAACTCTTCACTGTGTGGGAGGAGGGCGAACAAATGACTGGTGGGTAAGGGAATATGTGCAATAACCCTGAAATAATTCAGTACAATAACAAAAATCTCATTTACATTACTATTATATTATTATTATTACTATATTTCGATATACCATTATTTTCCATTTTATATTCTGTGTATGTTTGTGTATATATACTGGGGTTGGTGTCACGTGCGGGCATCACAGGAAGCAGGCAGGACCCAAATGCAGTACTGGTGAGACTCTTTCTGGTGCAGGTAGTTTTATTTATAAAGTCCAAATTAACGAAAGACGAAGAACTAACAGGCATGGGATTCTCTTTGGAACACGAGGAAACACAGAGTAGGGAACTCACGAACACGAACAGCCTGACAGAACGAACTGAACAATGATCCAAGAACACTCAGAATCACACTGATCTAACACACAATGACCCAACCACGACAGAGTGAGGGAGAGGGGTGTATATACACAGGGAACACCAGGTGACACAAGTGAAGCAAATTACCAACAGGTGAGTGTGATTCCACAGATTCCCCCACAAAGACAACAGGAAAAGGAAACAGACAGACATGACGGTTGGACAATGATATATACATAATGTATATATGTGGATGTGGGTGTATGTATATGTATATGTATATATGTATATGCATAACTAATATCCTATGTATAAATAAATATATTACTAATATATATCCTATATAATAGGACATATATAATGTATAGTAACCCCTAGTGATAATGGCTGAATAAATAAGTATATATATATATATATGTAACACTAATTTAGCTTAGTAATAACAATAGCATAATAAATAATACTAAATAATAATTAAGATTACAATCTACAACACCACACACAGCAACAATAATGACAAACTAATATCCTAACCTATCTATCTATCCTAACCTACACTATATTACCAAAAGTATTCGCTCACCTGCCTTGACTCATACTATGAACTGAAGTGCCATCCCATTCCTAACCCAGAGTTCAATAAGATGTCGGTCCACCTTTTGCAGCTATTACAGCTTCAACTCTTCTGGGAAGACTGTCCACAAGGTTGAGGAGAGTGTTTATAGGATTTTTTGACCATTCTTCCAAAAGCGCATTGGTGAGGTCACACACTGATGTTGGTCGAGAAGGCCTGGCTCTCAGTCTCCGCTCTAATTCATCCCAAAGGTGTTCTATCGGGTTCAGGTCAGGACTCTGTGCAGGCCAGTCAAGTTCATCCACACCAGACTCTGTCATCCATGTCTTTATGGACCTTGCTTTGTGCACTGGTGCACAGTCATGTTGGAAGAGGAAGGGGCCCGCTCCAAACTGTTCCCACAAGGTTGGGAGCATGGAATTGTCCAAAATGTTTTGGTATCCTGAAGCATTCAAAGTTCCTTTCACTGGAACTAAGGGGCCAAGCCCAGCTCCTGAAAAACAACCCCACACCATAATTCCTCCTCCACCAAATTTCACAGTCGGCACAATGCAGTCTGAAATGTACCGTTCTCCTGGCAACCTCCAAACCCAGACTCGTCCATCAGATTGCCAGATGGAAAAGCGTGATTCATCACTCCAGAGAACGCGTCTCCACTGCTCTAGAGGCCAGTGGCGGCGTGCTTTACACCATTGCATCCGACACTTTGCATTGCACTTGGTGATGTGTGGCTTGGCTGCAGCTGCTCGGCCATGGAAACCCATTCCATGAAGCTCTCTGCGTACTGTACTTGGGCTAATCTGAAGGTCACATGAAGTTTGTAGCTCTGTAGCAATTGACTGTGCAGAAAGTCGGCGACCTCTTTGCACTATGCGCTTCAGCATCCGCTGACCCCTCTCCGTCACTTTACGTGGCCTACCACTTCGTGGCTGAGTTGCTTTTGATCCCACATGCTTCCATTTTGTTATAATAGAGCTGACAGTTGACTGTGGAATATTTAGGAGCGAGGAAATTTCACGACTGGATTTGTTGCACAGGTGGCATCCTATGACAGTTCCACGCTGGAATTCACTGAGCTCCTGAGAGCGGCCCATTCTTTCACAAATGTCTTGTTTCACAGTCTGCATGCCTGAGTGCTTGATTTTATACACCTGTGGCCAGGCCAAGGGATTATGACACCTGATTCTGATCATTTGAATGGGTGAGCGAATACTTTTGGTAATATAGTGTATCTATCTACTACTACTAACCTACTAATCTAACATTCAATGTTCAGGTTTCTCAACAGTGTGCTGCTACTCTTTTTGTATTTGTATTTTGTTGTATTTATTGTACTTTACTTATCTGTGTGTTCTTACTGTTGTCTTTGGTGCTGTATTGCTGCTGGAGCCTTAATTTCCTAAAGGGAACTCCCAAGTGATTTATAAAGTTCTATCTATCTATCACATCAGACCCAAAAACAAAAATATTGATACCAAATCACAGATGGCTCTGGGGGGAGTGAGGAAGTGACAATGTAACACTGAAAATAAAACAACTTTCACATCTTCAGTAGTTAGCGACATATGAATCAGTAATGATTACCCCTCTAAAATTTCTCTAGAATCACATTTGACTGAAATGTATTTATAATTATTATGGGAAAGTTGACACAGGGCACCAAAGCAAATGTGGTTTTATTCACTGTGTTTGACATTATAAATGGATCGTTGGGAGCTTCATAGCATTTTTCTTCTTCTCTTTCTAAATAATACTGGAACACAGATTCTCTTTTTCATCACCTCTAATAAGAGAACTGTGACCTTTCTTTTTTTCTCATCTCTCTCCCTCGCTCTGTCTCTCAGACTCCATGTGCTGCTGCTGCTGTTCAAAAGAGCACAGAGAAATAGTCAGTTATTGCTTGTGTTTTGAAACAGTGTTTTGTCTTTTCTATTTTGTTGTGTATAGTATATAAAAATGTTTACACTGCATACGTTGGTATCACAATTTGATGACATTCATTTAAGACTGTATTATGCGTCTTAAATTGCTAAATTATGCGAAGGCATCAGTTTTTGTTTTAATACAATGAGGGAACAATGTAATGGTGGCACTTAATTTTATCACAAATATGAAATTATTGCTGGAGAAAATCCTGATTTATAGTTTCAAGTCAGAGTAAGTACAGAGAAATTGATCAGAAGTGGCCAAAACTCAGGTAATGACATTCAAAGATAAACACCTAGAAATGTGGACTAGAAACAGGTTTATTTATGAATTATTTAGTATTGTTTACCTACACTGTTTTAAACAGGTATCGCAGGACAGACCATAATAACAAGGATACACCTATTAGAAATTACACTATAAACTCACAGAACACAAAGTGACAGGATATGCGGGCAGAGTCACTGCTGTTTTTTTTACCAGATAAAGCAGGATAAAAGAAGACACTGAAGTGTCTTCAACTGAACCGTCTGAGTGAAGCCTTGTTTTTAACCCAGTGAGAACCAGATGTGGAAAAATACTGAGATATTCTGTAGACTTTGCATCTTTTATGACATTTAAACAATCAGGAGGGGTAAATCTGTTTTAAGCTGTCTGGGAATTGCCAGTGACCCAGCTGAGAATGATTCAGTTTTACTGAAAGCTTTACAGGAAATGTAAAGTCAGAATGTTGGACAAACAAAGCGAGGGCAGTTCCTGAGTCTCAGTCTAATACCGTATTTTTTGGACTATAAGGCGCACTTAAAATACTACTATCGACAGTGCACCTTATAACCCGGTGCGCCTGCAGTGGTCAGGTGGTTCATCTGAAAATAAAATGATGGAAAAAAAAAACCCAGAATACTGCACAGTTGAATATACAGATCAAGATCCAAATATTAAACATACACAGTATGAGTTATGTGAACTTTGTGCCTTGAAATATCAAACAGTACTTCTGAGGGATAATATTGTAACGAGTAACTTGCAAAACACTGAGAAGTAATATAACAGGAAAAGGAAATCAAATTTTAACGATCAGTTGCAATAGAAAAAAACAAGAGATCCTTTGTACAAAAGTTTCAGACTCATAAATGTCACTGACCGTCATGATATCACTTCTTTGAGACACAAACAACTTCATGATAATGATGTCATTTGTGAATAAAATTCATTATATAACCTAACACCAAAGTTTACTCTTTGAAAACCAACACAAATACTTTTACAAATCCTCTAAAATGTGTTCATTTAGGGACAACATACAAACAAAGAAAATGCGATGAATGGGGTTGAATCTCAGTGTTTTCTCAAAGGAAAACACAATCACCCTTGAACATAGATTTGTCCACGTCCTGTTTAACACTGTTGAACAGACATTTTAAGAACATCCAGAAGACTCACTTATCCACTTACAAGAACATGACATGGAATCATATTATAATAATGACATGATGGTGGGTTTTAAAGGAATGCTTCACAGGCCCTTTAATCCTGTTAAATCTATTGTTGAGACGTTTCAATACTTAATCGTTAATAGTTTAAAGCTTCTTTGTCTGTCTCTCCGTAGATCCGATGGGAAAAGAACATCACACTAGGAGAACCTCCAGGGTTCCTCCATTCATGGTGGTGGTGAGTATTATTGTCTCGGCTAATGACTCCTCTTGTTGTCATTTTTCATTGCTGACTTTATTGAAAGAAATAAAAAAATTAGCATCTTGCTGGTTCCCTTTCTTGTTGTTTTCCTTAATTGCTCCCCAAAGCCTGTTGTTGGCATGCGGTTTACAACTTGGAACATCTGAAGTTATTTATTGCAGTAGTGATAATAAAATCATACTTTTTGCAGTGATCCTTAAGTGTTTCCTGTCTGTAATATTCACACCCTGTGTTATCTGTGTTGTTGCAGTGTGTTCTGGGACTTGTACTGTGCAGTTCCAGAGAGAAGAGACACATGTGAGCACTCCAGTGAGGCCAAGGCGTTCCATGACTATGTGAGTTTCTGACACCAGAGTACTCTTCTTATAATCATTCTTTTACCAACATCAAATCATATGGTTCCCAATATCTATCTATCCATCTATCCATCCATCCATCCATCAAAGGGTCTTGTAGTACTCCTTCAAAATAGATCAGGTACACATTTACTCTTTACTTATTTGCCTTAACCCAAACATGAATAAATATATAGCGCCAGATGACTTTAGATTTGCTGTCATTCCGTAAATATCTCCAATATTTGTTGTATTTACCAATCTTACAATCTGCCAAATATCAGAACTTGTGTACTCCTGGCCCCTGTTTGTTGTACTTTTATACTCCAGTAACTGCAGCACAATGAGCAGCACCGGAGCACAGGAGGTTTTGAATTAAGGGCGGGCATACACTGTACGATTTTAGCCAGTTTTTGACCTGATGTTTGAGATGCACGACCTGGCGACGCTCGGCCCAATTTCCCGTTTCGTCGGGCGTCTTTTCCCATACAGTGTACAGGGGATAACGAACCACCGTCGGACAGTCGGAAGAATTTCTGACATGTCAGAAATTTTGGTTGGCTGATAATTTCTTTCGCACAGTGGAAGCAGAGCCCCGAGTCGACCGGAGCATTTCTCCCTCACTGCGTCTGCGCAAAATGATAGTAACCATGGCGAGGCGTCGGTGGCATGAAAACATGGAGGCGAGATTGATAGAGCTGTGGCACTGTCCACGTTTATTGAGCCATCTCTAACTCCAGATGCGCCGGCGCCTCTTCTTCTTCAAATTTTCAGTGCACAGTATCGCTGCAATCATAATGTCAGCCTTCTTCTTTTTGAATAGCATGTTGCTAATAACTGGTGTCGGAGCTTTTAAATAAATATTTATTGACAGCTGTCAATAGACAGGACAGTCAGCAGGGCCCGACGGGCCGTTTTCACCCGCACAGTGTGAGCTCTCTTGTGTTCAATGATTGGACCGTATAGTGTGAGTACATAAATTGTGAGCTTTGTCTGTACATCACTCGTACAGTGTGTGATGGTATCAACGACAAGATTTTAAAAAAATCGTACAGTGTATGCCCACCCTAACTGGTGACAAAGAGAGAAAAAAAAAGTATCCCTGTGAGAGGGAGGAGGTGGGGTGAGGGTGGATGTGAATGTGGTATGTTCTTTCTTCTTATGCTTTTTTTATTGTTGTTTTCCCTCTGAAGCCTAAGGTCTGACTCATCAGATTTGTCCATACTGTAGTTTATTGAGATGTATGGTGTGAAGTGCATAGGTCAGGGGTTTCTGCCTACCCCAGCAGGATCCCTCCCTCTCCCCCTCCCTTGGTCCCTCCCTCCCCCAGTCTCTGCATTTCCCTCGATCTTTGCTTTAAACTTGCACTGCTGTAAAGCCGGTGATGCCTCTCCTTGCTTTTATCATCTTACCACAAATACTGTATGTGTGTGTGTGCACAGGTGATGTTGCTAAAGCCTGCGATGGTGATTACGGTGATTAATAGGCGCTATGAGAACGAGGCGAATTATGGGGATGATGTCATCCCGACTCTGAGGGAAGGAGCTGGAGGGCATCACGACCTCAGACCAGAGAGAAAGAGACAATGAGAGTGGAAAAAAAGAACAAAAGAGGAAGTTGTCAAAATAAAGGGAGGGTTAAATGAACCTGGCACCTCACTCTTAATAAACCCAACCAAATTACACGATATACACCTGCTACCATTAGATGGTTCATTGGTGACAATAACATCTTCCATTGTTTTACCTCATCTGTTCAGAATCAATTTACCTCCGAAATCATTAGGAAGATATGGTAACAAACGTTGAAAGAGGCCAAGGGAAACTTCTTATTCATACATTTCCTGTAGAGATGTAATCAGCGAATTCTAATTACACTAATTGTAATTAGACCAAGGTAATTTTCAATCCACTTTTGAATTGCTGCGCAGCTTCTCAGAACCAATCAGAGGTGCTACCCACAAATCTGCCACTCAATTAAAGCCAAACCAGGGACAACTGTGGTGAACTTGTGGTTGGAAAATTTCACACACCTTTGATTTGACACTGGCGTCTCTCTTTAAGTCTCCTGACTATGAGACCGACCGAGATTTTAATCAGACGGTTTGACTGGCTTTGCCCTCTTAGTTGTTAATTAAGTAAATATTAAAGTCTTAAATATGAGTAAATATAGCGTAAAGCTGAAAATAGTTACTCTAAAAGTTGTTCACAATCAACATAAAATATATTTATATTGGTGTAAAATCTCACAGGAGGAAAGTTTCTGTTAATGTCTGGTATTTGACGAAATAACGCAGCAACAAAAATTAAATCAACATGAAACTTTTTTTAAATCTTCAAAAACATCATAGCAGCATTTCATTTTTTTTACACTTTGACATTCAGACTGCACTGATAAGGTGTGCCACTGTTAACTAGTAACATTATGCCTCCTCTAAAGTTCACTGTTAAGTGATTATACAATTGTGTGTGTCATTGTGGAGCATCACAACTATTAATAAATACTGTTCAAGTCAGTGAATTCTGCAGAGGTGATTGTGAAGATGTATAGGGGAAGAGACAGAGTTCAATTACTTTCGGGTAAGTGATGCAAAACACTGCAGATCCTCTTGAGATTGCGACATCATCGCAGTCTGACTGTTGTACTGGCTGTGCTGTGCAGTCTGCTGATAAAATGTCTCTTTAAACTGATGTTTAAACTAAATCTTTACTTGGAAAGAAAAAAAACACAGTCCCCTGGGAATGAAGGTGACTTCAGTTTTATGGTGTATGTGCAACTCTGAGAAAATGTAGCTAAAGGACATTCACGTAGTCATGATGTGGTCAAAAATATGTAAAGAAACAGTTACAGACGCAACGTCAGAGTCATGTCTGATTTACTGTTGGATACTTTTACATCATACAAAATCAGAAAAGGAGCTTTAATTTAAGTTAAAATAAAATAAAAAAGTGTGATACAGAAATAAAGCATATGTAGTATACTGACTAGGACTAGGATACTGTATATGTGTGTTTTCTTACAGTAAAATATTGAACTTAGCCACAGGCAAGAAGGGAAAGTAAAAACAAAATGTTCAATAAATGAATAAAGAGAAATTTTATTTCACAATTTGAAAACAGATTTTTACTGAAAATATATTACACGTTAGAGAGAGAGATAGGATATACTTTGTG